TACAGAGCCCTCTCCCCCTTGCCCTCCCATCTCTCCTTGTCATTCCAACACCCCAGGGTTAGTTCTTGGGCACAAGTGCCCCTTGCAGGGGAGCTCCTGCAGGGTGGGGATAGCTTACATTTGAGGAAGCAGTACATTTCCTTATACACAGATGAACAAGCTGCTTTTGAGATTTTCAACTAGAGCCGGGTCAGGGACTGGGGGTTTGGATCCAGAATGCTGGTTCTGCCCCTTATGGAGATGCTGTTAGATCCATTCCAAATGTTGCCTCTAACTTCACCTGAGCATTTGCAAAGAGGTGGACTCCGGGGTGAAAGTTACCATGTTCGGGTTCATGTACCGCAGGGGAGTCCCAGGTATGGAGAGCTCAAGGTCATGTGGTGAGTCAGTGGCAGAGATGGGAACTGAACGCAGAGCCCCTGGTGCCCAGCTAGCCCTGTGTGGGGGCTAGAATTTCCATCCTGAGGAAAATTTCACACTTCTACATTTAGCAACAAAACATTGGAAATATGAAATTTTCCACGGAAAAGGAATTTTTCAAGAAGGCAGGTGTTTTGGTCAAGCGCAGTACAGTGCGGTGGGGTGTGACAGCATAGCGGTGCGTAACTAGTGTGATGGAGTGCAGCGGCATATACATATTGTGTATGGTATCAGAGGGTGTGATGGGATGCACAGATTCTTGATTATTCCAACAACAAGAAACTGTGGATCCTGCCAGTGTTGGAGGTTTGCTCCAGCCAGCTCTTTGTGATTAGTTATAGATTGCTTTCCTGCTGAAAAGCTCTGGTTATCCAGTCCGGGAGCAGAGACAAGGCAACCAATTAGATATCAAGAGAGGGAATGATGGACAATCACAGCAAGTGACCAGCCAGCTGTTCCTGAGTGACGGTTAGTCTGGTAATCGTCCATCTGAGCTGAATGAATAGACTGCCAGCAAATAGGCCTGGCTAGCACATGATCTGGGACCCCCAGGCCAGACAGAACCCTTCAGGTAGTTTGCTCATTTGCCAGCTCCTCTCGAGGGGCACAGGCGGAACCAGCGCAGGCAGTTTTAGCTGGTTGTTAGCCATGCGGAGAAGGGACTGCTCAGCACCAGGAATGAACCCTAGTTCAGGATCTGAGGCTGAGATGAGCAACGTCTCTGCTTTTGTGGCCAGCCTTGGTGCGTGTCACACACATTGCGTTGGGCGTTCAATGACCGCGCCGTTTAATTGCTCTGCACTGGCTTCCTACACAGAGAGCAACACTGATTGTCAATAACATTCCCCAGCCAGGATTCCATCTTTCTAGTTACAAGATGCCCCTATGAATATTTTATGAGCTGCACTAACCAAAGGGGATAGAGGCATTAAGTTGAAAGCTTGAGAACTTGATCAAAGAATATAATATGCCTGTGACCGTACTTCAAACACGGCTTAACCCCAGGGTAGCTGCGCATAAATATGTGCAAAGAAATCCCAGTTCCTGTTTACTGCACATTTCAATATTTATATTTAGCTGCTAACAGCCGTAACGTTTGAGGATTTAAAAATACGATAAGACTTTGTATTCTGGAGAGATGAATGACTGTAATAGAGTTGCAGTTATGAAATGCTATTGGTATTTTTATCTATTCTAGAGGCATCGTAAGTGGCTCCATAGTTAAGGCTGAATTGAGATTTGCACTTAAAGCAGGAGATAAATGGCTTTATTTTGTGCAACAAATACAGTGTATTTCCCCCAAATTCACAGCACGTAATCAGAGAGTAAAGACTACATTTTCTAAGGCTACTCAAGTGAATCTGTTAATTAGTTTCTGAGTAAAAATTAAATAAAAAGAGCACTTTAAGACTTATTTTTGTGATTTTTGTTAACAGTCCCTAAAGAGGCAAAAATTCACCATCTGTCATGAACAGCCAGGCCAAGATCCTACAAAGATCTATGAACATAGTTAATTTTACACTCTGTGATAGTCCCATTGATTTCAATAGGACAGCTCATGGGATGAAGTCCTGCCCCACTGAAGTCGGTGACGAAACTCCCATGGTTTGTGGTGTGTAAAGTTACGCACATGCATAAGTCTTTGCAGGAGCAGACACACAGTCATTGCTGGAACAAGCCATAAGTTTCCTTTGAAGAAAATGGGCTGTGATTAAAGCTTTTTGGAAAACAACATTTGTAATGAAAAATGTTGAAATTTCACATTTATTTTCATTCCACGGGGTAGGAAACAGAGCTTTTGTTTTTTCAAAAATTGTAGTGAATTTTTTTAAATAAAAATATTTATTGAAATAACAAAAACAACGAAGAGTCCAGTGGCACCTTAAAGACTAACAGATTTATTTGGGCATAAGCTTTCGTGGGTAAAAACCCCACTTCTTCAGATGCATGGAATGAAAATTACAGATAAAGGTATAAATATTTGATAATTATGTTAATTTCTGATAATATGATATTTATGCCTGTATCTGTAATTTTCACTCCATGAATCTAAAAAGTGGGTTTGTTACCCACAAAAGCTTATGCCCAAATAAATCTGTTAGTCTTTAAGGTGCCACCGGACTCCTTGTTGTTTTTGTGGATACAGACTAACACAGCTACCCCTCTGATTATTGAAATAATGTTGTTTACAGGAAGAATGTGGCTTTCAATAAATAAGACATGTCAATAACCACTTAGAGAATGTTTTTATACAAAAATTTCAATAAAAATATAATGAATTTTTTTTTAAAGGCCATTTGCGAGTAGCAATTCCCAATAGTCTGTTGTAACCAAACCAATCTATTAATGATTCTTGTATGCGGTTGTTGGGATTATAATCAGGGTCAGGTCAATAGTTCAGGTCATTCTTAAGCAGTGTCATTGCTTGTGACATCAGAAGTCGCTCAGTCAAACCTCGCAGTTCTTCTCTAGTTAATTTCCATGCTCTCCCCTTCACTCGCTTGTATGCTGCAGGGGGATGTGGGAAGGAGAGGCCCTATGACAAGCCAAAGGACCCAAAGTTCGAAATGGAAGATGTCTGGCCTCATCTAGGAGCTTCTGAACTCACTGGCACAGGACAACAGCCCTCTCTGCAATTGCTTTAACGTCAGCTACACTTTCACAGCATTGCAATCAATGTAATGATGATTTCACAGTGCAAATGGAACCAGACATTCATTTGCCCAGTGGCATAATGTGTAAAATGTGGAGCAATTAAAACGTGAAAAAAAATCCGGCCTTTACGATTCTGCAGATCACTCCTCCCTCCCCATGTGTAGAGCCAGAGGCCAACTGCAAACCAGCCACAGCAACCACCAGCTTTATCTGGCCCAAAGTCACAGCAGACCGCTATGTGTTTCAGCACACGCTCCATTGTCTTGCCTTGGCCAGTAACATTTCCAGTGTTCCTTTCACAATTCCTTAGTCCCTCTAAGCCCACACCTATTTTTTCCTCCTATTTAACAAATTTGCCCTCTTTGTGTCTCAGCCACTGTATGCAGTGTACACGCTTATTGTACCTGCAGATTGGGAGCATCTGGATTTGATTCTGTTTGGATAAGGACAAAAAAATGGATGGAACAGAATGGAATGCTCACATTTCAATTTCAAAGGCTGGCTAGCAACCTCTGTCCTTAGATAACCAAGGCCTTTCAGGTAGTTTACTCATGGCACATCTTTATTTTAGAGTGTGCATTTCTTTGTCTTTATCATTAACTTTACCCAGCGTCCTTCCAATTAGAACATTTAGAACATTAACCCTTGAGCATGTGGACGGTGTACATTACAATGACATGGAACTTTCCAGTCTGAAATTCATAATGACAGAACGAATACCAGGCTGCTGTTTCAACTCCAGCATTAATTATTTCATTTTAGAAATGATAAATTTTCAAATGAAACGTCTGAAATAACATCAAGCTTCCATGCAACGAACTCTCCCAGCAGGGCCGGCTCCAGGCACCAGCCCACCAAGCATGTGCTTGGGGCGGCGCCTGGAGGGGGGGCGCGGCGGGGCGCTCCGGCCTGAGAGCAGGGCCGCGACTGGGCTCGCCGCCCTACCTGCGGCGCTCGG